TTTGTAATTTTTGGTAAAAAGGTGATATTTTTGATTTCTGTTGAAAACCGCAAGTCCAATTGCTTTGATATTACATATATAGGTACTACATGTGGACCTCTCTCAGATTTGTTCATTTCATAATGATATCTTTAATTCTCTAATTTTGATGAATATTTTTGTAATTTTTGATAAAAAGTGATATTTTCGACTTCTTGTTGAAAACCGCAAGTCCAATTGCTTTGATATATTATACATATAGGTACTACATGTGGACCTCTCTCAGATTTGTTCATTTTCTAATGATATCTTCTGTTCTTTAATTGCCATGTGCATTGCTAACAGCGGAGCTATCTCAGCCGACAGGCTGCTTGTTAGAAACGTCGTTTAAAATATACTTTTGTTACCAATAAAATAAAAACAAATGTATTTGAAAAATGACACTGGACGACACTTTAATGACATTTCAGGTGGTCTACTTTTTAATTCAGCAAGAATTATTAATTAATGTTAATTCTGCAATAGTTTCTTTTGTCTTGGGTGGCCCAACTCACGGCGTAGAAAGTCTGTGTAGTTGGATACAATGAAAATGTCCCCCCAAAATATTTGATAATTATTTTTTGAAATTTTGAACCCCAAATAAGCGCACATCAGCCGTGAAATCCCCAAGGCGATTTTTCGGATGGGCGAATTTACGGCAGAATCCGGTATTATATAAAGAAAGTATTATTATGGACATCTCGCGCATATTGCCAATGTTTTATACAGTTTGCAGTTTGCATATGAAAGTGGTTGTTGATGCCCCTCCTATTATTCGACGTTGTTGACAATGCGATAACAATGCCACTCGCACTGTGCACATTTTAGCACGAGATCTAGTGCCATTTTAGCGCTAGATCTAGTGCCATTTTAGCACTAGATCTAGTAGTTTTTCGGATTAGTGCTACTAGCACTAACCACTCGCACTATGTCCATTTCGACACATTTACATACATGTAGTTAGTGGTAGAGAATATAAACAAAATCATTTGATATATATACAATTGGCTTCCTTAAGAGCTTATAATTCTACTCTTTGACATCAGCTCAACTTGTATGTTTACGATAATAACTTGTTATACTTCTGTTATTTAAACCAAAATCGTCTTTATTTTTCAGGTTTTAAATTATTTTGATTACGCCTTTACTGCTATCTTCACCATGGAAATTATGTTAAAGGTAAATTATCTCAAATTAGTTGCAATATGTGTATTTTCAGAATTTAGTTCAATTTACTGTAAAATACTTTATTTTCGCTTGAAATTTAATTTCACTGTTTTTGCTGAAGAGGTGATTCAGTGAAAATAAAATTCAGCAAATATACATTTTTCTATATTTTACATTCAAGACAATCAAAAATCAGTAAAAATAAATTTCATACAAAACATCCAAATAGCTTCCTCAGTGAATAATAAAGTATTTTACAGTATTATGAAAATAAAGAAATTAAATTCTTCTTCTATTCCTTTCAGGTCATATCATATGGTTTGATATTTCATAAGGGTTCTTTTTGTCGGAATACTTTCAATCTTCTAGATCTACTTGTTGTTTCAGTATCAATCATCTCATATCCACTTTCGTAAGTATTCACATCATTATCAGATAATACCATCTTTTAAAGTTTAGCTCTGCTTAAGCCTTAAACGCATTCAGTGGAATAAACTTTAGACAATTTTATCAATCAATTGTTTAACCTCTTGTCTTGGGAATCATGATATCTTGTATATAGAGTGTTTTTATGATGGTAATGCATTTCTTGTTTGTCTTTCCATTATTGTTATATTTTTACTATGCCTGTATCATCATAAGTGAAGGGAAAGATATATGCGTGAAAAATTGCAAGTTGTAGTAGTTATATCATCATTTATGCAAAAATACCTCAATTAATTTTTTTTTTTTTTAAATTGATTATATTTTGTCTTAAAGTTGGATGTTAGACATTCCCAGGTTGGTTATTTAAACAAAAACTTTTCATCCTCCAATCAAATTTCTCTTTTTATTGTCCACTCTGAGCTGTTTATATTGTTATGTCACCTCACTTCTCACATGTTTCAAATTTGATCTTAATTTTTCTATTAATATAAGCTTCATAATTGGTGCATGTTACCATTCCCGTATTAAAAGTTGTCATTTGATCTAATTATCTTTGTCATTGTCATCCCCTCATTTTCGGCTACAAATTTGTTTTTTTTTGATGTCATTAGGCTTTAGGCTTTGGTAATGTCACAGGCTGTGGTAATGTCACAGGCTGTGGTGATGTCACAAGGCTGTGGTGATGTCATAAAGCTGTGATGATGTCACAAGACTATACTTGTGAATATTGCTACATATATTTTGTCAAATAAATAATGTAATAATGAGAATTAAAATCCAAATTTGTTTAGTATTTCTTTCTTGATTAGTCATGCTTAATGACATTGTACTTAAAATAGGGTTTAAATCTAAACTCTGTAAAGTATAAATGTATTCTTGCATGACATTCACAGCATGTAACATATTTATGTAAATTCCAACTATAGTCTGATTCTTATTGCAATGACACACTGCATCCACCATTTTATTGATTATCT